CTTCAATAGAATCATAGCGTAGTGCGGCACTATAAAGTACTCTAACAGCGAAGTAGCACTTCAAAGTCTTTCTGCATACGAATCAGTAGTGCGACACTATAAGCGACACTAAACATTGTTGAGCTACTTCGAAGTGCTTAGTGTCTGTGACGTATTTAGCATGCCAACAGCAACAGGACACTTCGTAGTGCATAGTGCTACTTCGTAGTGCTAGTGCCCTATTTAGCATAAGGGCCATTATCAGTGGCTACAACTGGGAATCACGTACTACCCCTTTCAACACCGCGATATCAATAGTACCTCATCTGTTAAGCTCCTAGTAAACTTCACGAATCTTAAATGATTGTTCGGGATTAGAAGCATATTGTCTTTTATCGTTGTGTGTCAGAAAAATTGTACTAATCTCATTCCTGCCTACAACATATTCGTCTGACAAGCACACGATAATTAAACGGCTGGTCTGTTCTTCATTTCGCCTACTCATTTACCTCTCTTATTCATATTTATTTATTATCTCTCTTAATTAATAAGCGCTGATCAAATTTCATCATCCATCCTATTTGAAGCATGCCTGTAAGATCGTTCAGTCTATCGCCAGTCACTTGCTCGCACACAAAACATCAAATCTGCCCGCATTCATTCTTTGCGTCAGGCATTCTATGCCCTTGGAAGACATTTCTTTTATTTACATAAATTGATATATTGCAGTGCGAAACAGACCGTTGAGTTGATCTTACAACATATATACTAAAATAACATTGAACAAATTATTCTATACAGTCGATGCTCACAATTTTTTCCCCAGTAGCGAACAAATACTTTTTATCATGGATCATAAATGATTGCGTTTATAATATCTAAAGTGGGTTCCTAGGTAGATATTTATTAATACTTGCTAAAATTTCAAATTGAACCATACAACTTATTTAAATAATAAAGAATTTTAAGCATTTTGCAATAGATGGCTAAATAGCTGTAAATGGTCCCTGCTAAATTGTGATGAATCGTGGAAATGAATCTTGAAAAGACAAGAGTTATTACAGTTCTGAAAATATTTTTTTCTTAATTATTTTATAAAAAGTCAATAGTTTCAGCGCAATGAATATTCTACATTTCCGTTATGGTTTTCATGTATAAACGATCGCTTCTTCAAATGTCTCGTTAATTCCAGCAAAATACTTATATGTTCCAAATTGAAAGCAGAGCCGTTAAGTATTGAAGGAGATATGACTGGGTGGATTGCTTTAAGAATGTATTTATATATTTTAATCGAAACTAATCAATATAAAAATCTGTAATCTGCTTCTTCGCCGATAAAAATCTGCCTCCATGACGATTCTGACAAACTGTCGCAGAATGCAAGCTGGGATCGAACCCGTACCTCTCTGCTCCACTGTCATATGTTAGCTTCAATTCAAACGATTTATTCATGAGTCTCGATTACTTTATTTTCAATTAACATGTTTATCTGAAGCGCATTTTACATGAATTTTATGTTATAATAGCGGTTTCAGCGTTTATTAGGCCATAGGCCTGTCGCCGAGTCTTGACATCGCAGAACATTCACAGCATTTTGCGGTCTCGAACGCGCAACTCACTGCTACAATTCTGCTGTGCTTAACCGCCCGGCCTCATTGCCGATTCTGACCAGAAACTGGCGCACAGAGCTGGGATCGAACCCGCGCCTCTCTG